TAATATACTACTACTAGGTAGTNTACGTCTACTTAGTTCGTACGTGTAGTACTATATATATATATATATATATATATATATATATATATATATATATNTAAAATGATGAAGATGATCCTGTGAACCAATGGGCTTACAAGAAAAAATGAACTCAACAGCTCAGATTGAATCTGAATCGATTTGACGATCATGAATATCCGATAGTGTTTGAATTTTAATGTTTTTTATATAAATCCAAATCACTTGAAATTTTGGACGTATGTTCATCAAAAATAGATGAATCTTCGAAAAATATCAAAACAATATTTTACATGAAAAAATTGATCAAAATATCCCGATAAAGTTTCAAAAGCATTTTGGTCAATTTGTTTTTGGCGGAGAGAGAGAAAACATTGTCTTAAAAAAATTTATGCTGATGTAAGAGTGTCAAAAAGATGAAACTTTTTACCTATTGCACTTCAGAGGAGATTGTCTTCTACCAATTATAGACTAATATAATTGATTAGTGCATTCACATGCTAAGTTCTTGTGTTTCTGTCATTCTTCTTGGTATTAGAGTAGCCTAGGGATCAATGAGCATCCTGGAGCTGTTATAAGGAGATGCCACAGGTTTCTTTCCAAACACAGTGAAATTCAGAAACAAGGAAAGCTCCCACATCGTTCACCAAAATCCCGTAATGCACCATTGTGCCCCAAACAATGCATGTCCAGCTTGAAATTTTAAAAAAAAAAATCGAAAAACTCCATGAGAGCACAATTCCACTGATAAGTGTGGTGTCAAAAGGAAATCAAGGCCATTTTTTTTCTGAGCTCATGGCATTCATATATAACCAACTGGATTATAGTACATTTTAAATAATCAAAAGCTCAAGAAATAAAGATCTACTGCACACCAAGCTTAGGGCACCCTGAAGGTAGTGGTAGATCCAAATTTTCAACTGTTCTAAATGTCCTAGGGACCATTTTGTCAACATAAATTGTTCCATCCAAGTGGTCACATTCATGCTGCAATATCCGTGCCTTCCAACCAATTGCATTTACCTTGATGGGGCACCCATCGCGCCCAAGACCTATAACTTCAACCTCGAGGTATCGCTCCACCAATGCCCTAAACCCATCCACACTGAACCTAACAGTTTACTCATTAATAATTCATTCCTACGTAATAACAATATACTTAATCATAACTGCATGTTGAATCCACCAAAATCTCATCAATCTAGCCATTTTTTTCAGTTAATCATGATTCAAGAGTTTATTCCCTATCTTTCTTATGCCATAATCGTATGTTTAGGCAATGATAGTGTCCAATTCAATTGTTGATAAAATTTGATGCAATCAGTTTGTTTTTTATATCGTCAAATTGACTCTCTCAGTTACCCATGGAAGTCTGAAAAATTCGCCAATACCATCGGAAAGTACTATTACCAATTAATTCATATCTTAATAAATTTGGAATAACAAACTTATAATTATTACAGTGCATATCGGGGCACAGGCCAAATAACTTTACCAAGAAACTCAAGGCCCACTTTTATATTCTTTTATTAGATAAGAAATGATAAAAGATCAAACCTTGTACAACAATGAATGGAAATAAAAGAGAAGAGAGATTATATAGAAATAACATCAACCAAAAAGTTCTCGAAGGATGAAGATATGAGATAGAAAGAAGCCCAATACAATTTTTCGAGAATGATGCAGTGTGACTCAATCAGGTTTTTGAAGGAAGTCAGTCCAAAGCTTAAAATCGAAGATGTTTTCATGAGCCCACTTTTATATTCTTTTATAAGGTAATAAATGATAGTGAAAAGACGCTCAAACCTTGTACAAGAATAAATGGAAATAAAAGAGGAAAAATTATGTAGAGATAGCATGGATCATCAACCAAAAAATTCTCGAAGGTTGAAGATATGAGACAAAAAGAAGTCTAATACAAATTTTCCAGAACGGGCAGTGCAACTCAAATCAGCTTTTTGAAGGATGCAAGTCCAAAGCTTAAAACCGAAGATGTTTTCAGGACCTATGATCCCTGTCTCATTGTAATTCAGATATTTCAAGCTTCATATCATGGTTGAAATCTGTTGGAAAACTAGAAAACCCTAGGTTAAGTAGATCAATCTTTTAGAAGATTTTTGGTGCCATAGATTAGAAAGTTAAAAGAGTCTTCGAATTTTCGTAAAACATTCTTTCCTTGTTTTGCAAGTAAAGTCAGTATTCTAGTTTTAATGGTCAAAAGATTCTTTCAATGTTTAGCATGGTCCGCTAAAACTAAAGAGGCATCTTCTCATCCACTCTTACTCGATATAGGAGACCCCCAGACTACCACAACCCTGCTGCCGTAATAACAACCAAAAACCCTTTGAACATTCTAAATTCTAACCTAATTAGAACTCACTACTACTTTCAAATGCTCATCTTGCTCTTACACTCGTGTAGGAGCCAGGTACATATGGTCCTACAACACAATGGAAGGATAGGATTGACAAATTCCCAAACTAGACCACTGTAAGCATTAATATACTTCTTTTTGGCAAATAATCATAATTTTAGGAGGTCATTTATTTAAGTTTTAAAATAATTTTAAAGACATTCAATGCCAGTAACAAGTTATATTAACAATCAAGAAACAGAAAAATAACAAGTTATATAGCCTATCAAATATGAAGAAAAAAAACATAGAATATCGAATGAGAGCATATCATTAAGTACTAGTCATACTAAAAGTTCAGTAATCAAACATCATTTCTTACCTTAGACATCCTTCAAAGAATAGTGCAGACTTGTTGCCTTTCTTTGTGAGCTTCGGGTTAATTATGACCTATCTCAAAATATATAACTAGCAATTAATGGACATGATCTCCAATGGGTGACAAAAAGCCATTTACAAAACAGAAATAAGATATACAACAGTGTTCGCAAAATCGAAATGTAACGGTTAACCGGAAATGGGCCAAGAAGCAGTTTAATCGGCCCAATCAATAAACCAACATATTCAAACGTTCTAACCTGGCAAGTCCTAGGTGGTCAAAAAGGTGTTGAAAAGTAAAAAATATACAAAAAATATATCTATTAAAATATGAAAAGTATATAAAGAATGATTAAAACAAAACACATTCAATTGAAGTTTAAAATTAATGAAAAAAATAGATTTTAACGAATCAATTTTTGAATCCAAGTGAGTATTAATGGCAAAAAAAAAATTTCATCTTTACCATAATGTAAAGAATATTAAAAAATGCATTACAAACTAAATTCCTTATTTTTGGGAATTTATATATATATATATATATATTTTTTTTTTTTTTTTTTTTTTTTTTAAAATTACTCGTCGATCACCAAAACCACCCAAAACTGGAACTGGTCGATCTAACCGGGTGGTTAACGGTTAGATTGCCCGGTTTTTCTAACAATGATATACAAGAACGAGATCATGTAACAATTTGTTTATAAAGAGATTGCCCTGGTTCCGCATAGACCTACCAAAAGATCAAAAGGTTCCCGTTGCTGTGCGTTGGTTTCTTCCTTTGGAGCATAGTTAATATAGGTCTCTGTATCTTCCAACACAATTATCTGCAGAGATATGAAATATTTGATACTTTAATCATAGATTGAAAAAGTAAACCAGTTACCTAAAACAGATGTTTCTCATCATTCTCTTGAATGTAGTAAAAATGGCATGGTCCTTTCCTATAATCAAGATCAGTCCCTGGCTAAGCAATCACTTTGCAATTTCATTATTCCTTTAGTTTGATTAAAGTCTTTCTAGGGTCTAGCCAAAGTGCTAAGTATTAGATCTGGATTACCTGAAGGACCACAGCCATCGCTAGCAGAGAGCAATGCAGGCACCAAAGAACAATACAATAATACACCTAACGGGTTTCAAGTCCAAGAGTTATCATTGCTCAGAAATTTTGATAGGCAGTTTATCAAAGAAGTATGTGGTTTCATAATGAAATTGTCGAAAAATCATCTAATGCTTCAGTGCTTCCTTTTTCTGATTTTTGTAACATGGCATCACAGATGCAACTAAGTGATAACTTCTGCGAAAAGATTTTACAGGAATTGCAATGGAACAATCTTTTGATCCCGCTTATACCAAAGCAACAAACCTACTTATGCCAAGGACTCCATCTCCCCATTAACATGGGAAGAAACACTGGACTCTATATTCTACATTTTAAAATGAAGATCTCTTCCAAGATTTAGGCATTCTATTTTTATGTTTGTCGCTTTGCCAGAAAATACCTGACAAAAACATGAAAAGCCCATCAATGTCTCCTGCACCTATCTTTTCAAAGTCGTAGACACTTGCCGGCCCTCAAAACACTGAAATTACTTTGCGTTGACAGTTTCCAAGGAATCCCTCACCCTTGGTAGGCCTGGATTTCCTAATGAAGTACAATAAAAGTAGAGTTTCAACTTTCAAGTAGCCCTCTAGTGGCATAGCACCCGGATAAAAGGAATGGAATTTAAGGGCGTAGGTTATTCAGTTTCATCTTCCATCATCGGAATGAATCATCATCATCATCCAAGCCTTATCCCAATTATTTGGGGTCCCCTACATAAATTCTTTTCCTCCATTCTTCTATAAGATGTGGCAAAGTTTTATGTTGGTTGCCTACCTAACGCAACCCACCACCTTTACCTAGGCTTGGGATGGGTTAAGAGAAAGTTTAAGGATCTCACCCTTATTAGACCCATTATGAGAATGAATAATTAGCTCTAACCCCTAGAATTCCTGACTAAGTAGAACCCAAGCAAGCACTCTATCTCTGATGCGTCCGAACATCTCCTTCCTAATGTATGCACCATTACAAGTTCCAATGTTTCATTCTCACTAGATGCCCCAAATGATTGTCAAGAGGGGCATCATCCATTGTAATCGACCTCTCTTTGAAAATATGCTTAGAAGAAATAACTCATAAAGATTCCCACAAAGTATAGTGTAATCCAAGACATCACAGATGTGTTTTAAGACATAGCTCTAAGACATTTTTCACATAGTGACATTGCAGAAGGTGGATCATTGCATGCAGCGTCCACACATAGAGAACATAAGTGTCTTGTTTGAACCACAGTTTTGGAGGTGGTTTCTTCCAACTTTTAAGAATTTTGTCAAGGAAGGTGCAACAGACAAAATCAGGATTCATAACGAAGCAAAATAAGGATTCCTCAAAACAAGGCAACATAGATAGCTTTCTTTGCCCACCTCTAATGGATCCTAAAAACAATTTAATTGAGAGCAATCCCACATGCAATCCTCTTGAGTGATTCATCCACAGGCTGTCTCTCTTCTAGACACCAAACAAGAATGACCCCTTATTTTCCAAATGCACTAAGTTCCCCATCTTAGTTTCCGTTTGAACAAGTAGCAAATTTTAGTAGCAATGGGCACAAGGATATTGTTTCAAGCTACCACGTATACATAGTCCCCACTTCCAAGATAACATGAAAATATCAAACAGAAACCACAAGAATTCCCTATGGAAGACATTAACCAAGATCCACATATACGCATCTGAGGGTATACAATGTACATACAAAACAAAAAAATGGAGAAAAAGTAAAGAGAGAAAAAAGGAGGTGGTTCACTGACTGATCAGTGTCCCTACAAATGAACCATATGTTTAGGGTTTGAATCCCAGAGTTTTGGTGGTGACTTGTGGAACATGTAAGAGTCTGATCAGGGGAGGCCATCCAGACAAACGTTTGAGAACAAAGAGAGATCAGGATTCACCAAACAAGGAAACTTACGGAGCTTTGTACATCTGTCCCCTAAAAGATCATAATGACCAATCTAACCAAGAAGCGTCTCAGTTTTTATGGAGCCCTCCACACAGAATATCTTCTTCAAGACAATTCAAGAGGAATCCTAACTCTGTTTTCTACAGTGCTCGAGTACACTTTGATAATTAATTGACCTTGTACAATAAATTGTTGTAGCTAAAGGCCCAAGAAAATCGCTTGAAGCTACCAGATGTGTATAGTGTGACCTTGCAAGATGTCAAATCAATCACTAGAGTCATACAAAAAGAATTTCGCAATGCCCACTACCATGTAAGCAGAAAAAAATATCGAACATAAATAACCAACTTCCCTGTGGCTAAAGGAAGTGTTTAGAACTGTATTGACAAAATACCCAAAATATGATCAGGTAAGGACTTATGGTCAAGAAATCTAACAAGATCAGCAAACAAGCTTCTGAAGCTACATCATAGATAGGATCTACATCCAACCACAAAACCAAAAAAAAAAGCAACCGAAAGAAAAAAAAGGAAATAAGAAGAAGAATATGGGAAGGTGAGAATGAATAAGCATGATTGTGCTTCAGATATCCCCTATCAATAAGCACGTGGATTATGAGAATCTAACTAACTAGCAGTGCAATGGACCACCTAATTTGAGAAAGAGTCCATATTGCAAAAGAAGGTAATAAGTAGCAAACAACACATTAAACTCTTAAAAACTGCCCAATTTCCATGAGTCATTAAAAGCAAAAATTTTCACTGAAATGAGAGATGGTTGCTTTTTAGTTCCACTGATCAACATGAATTCTACAATAACTAAATAAATTAATTAAAATCCATTCACTAATTAATTAATGAAATTACAGAACCCAAAATGCGTAAATGATCTTTTTTTTTACTTTCAAGTGAAAACTGCTCGAAGCCTTGAACTATACCAAAAACCAAAAATAAAAATGCCGTTCAGCTACTCAGATGACTGATGAGTTCCATTTTCCAGTGAAAAAATCATGGATTAAACTCAACAAGGGAAAACTCCAATCAAATCCAAAATGAGGATAATTTCTCCACTTTCTAGTGAAACCAGATATAAATTAGGGAAGAACTCCATACAAACTCAAAATGAGGATAATTTCTCCACTTTCTAGTGAAACCAGATATAAATTAGGGAAGAACTCCACACAAACCCAAAATGAGGATAATTTCTCCACTTTCTAGTGAAACCAGATATAAATTATAGAAAGAAAAAAAAATCTACAGAAATAGAAATGAAGAATTAGTGCTCTTACTGTCCAGTGAAAGTGTACTACATTGTGTGTGTGTACGAAAGAGATAGAGAGAGGTGTTTGTGTGTGTGTGTGAGAGAGAGAGAACGGAAAATCAAAAAGATAAGAGGAAAGAAAATTGAACAAAAAATGGAAATTGCAGGTCAAAGAAAGAAAAAAATCAGTCAAAACCAAAACCTTTAATGGAATCCCTATCTGGGGAGCTGCTAACCCAACACCAGGGGCCTTTCTCATAACTTGAATCATGTCTTCGATTATTTTCTGTATCTTCTCGGACCCAATTTCTTCTGAGGCAATGTCAAGTGCTGGTTCATGAAGAACTGGATCACCAGCCTTCACAATATCAGGCAAATCCATCTTCTTCTGAGTCAATCCCTGAAACCAACCTGCTGAAACCAATGAAGAAGCCTCTCTAGTGCTTTGCAAGAGTAATGGAATTTTCCCAACTGTGAAATCAAGGGGCGGTCTCTTCAAAAATGGGTGTCTAAGGTTACAGAGTGGGAGTTTACTGGTGTTGTGATGAGGGTTTTTAGTGAAAGCTCGTCTCGTTGTGGAGAGTGAGAGCAGCCAAGAAGGGAGCCTGAATATGCTTTCCATAGTGACCCACACTTCAGTTACCATGGGTTTATCATGTTCATTGCCTCTGTAGCCATTTATGGCAAATGCGAGTTTCGAATGAAAACCTTAACCAAATTTTGCTTCTGTTAAAATCTGTTTATTGAAAAAGGACTGTTTGAATGGCTTTGACATTGGATTATCGTCTTCTATATCTGGATTTCCTATTAGGGATACCAAAAATAATCAGATTTGCTATTAGGGGTTGTTTGTTACGCGTGAAATTTTATAAACAGATAAAAAGATTTACATGTGGAGAGAGTTTACAAGAAAAAATTAAAACATCTTCTCTCACATCTTTCATAAATAAAAAAATTTAAAAATTTGGTGATCTAAATCGGAATCACCTAATCCAGAAAAAAAATCATCGATAATGATATGAATATTTCAATACATCGGGATCCGGACAATCGACTCTATGAAATGCAATTCTCGACAATCCACATCAGTGATTCGCTACAGTGAATCATCGAGTCCATACGCTACTTCAATAATGGAGTCACGGGTTCCTCTTTGGATGCTTTTTTCACAACTTTTGAAGCTTTTTTCAAATATTTGTAGTGCATTATTAAATTGAATGATTGTGTATTATCTACAAAACAATGATCCAACGAATGAAAAAAAGTATATATATAAAAAAATTTGTGACTATTTTTTGTGCGTTTTTCTCGGGGTTAAGAAAAATCCGTCAATCCAATGATTTTGGCCTCGATTTAGAACCATTTTGCATCAAATTTTGTGCATTTTGAAGCAAATCTAGTTGTTTACATGATTATTTGTTTGATTACACGAAGATTCAAGGTCGATTTTGCTCGAAACTTTGTTCCTGAATACCTATCTAGATATTGATTTATCATTTCATATTTTTTAATGAGTTTTGTGACTATTTTATGTGTGTTTTTATCAGGGTATTGAAAAATCCGCCAATCTGATGATTTTGGGCTCGATTTATAACCATGTTGTATCAATTTTTTTGTGTGTTTTGAAAAAAATCTAGTTCTTCACACAATAATTGGGTTGATTTGTTTGATTACACAAAGATTCATGGTCAAAATATATCTTAATACGTTATAGGGTTTTCTAAATAATTATTTTTTATTTATTTTACTAAATAAAATTAGAGATTTTGAATAATATGGACTCTTGATATATGCAGTGTGAGAATATTTATTTTTTATTTTTTTTGTAATTATAGTCTATTTTACCTCATGAATTTATAATTTTATGGGAAAATACTCATATTTTTTAATTTTATCTTTGATTTTTTTAATGCAATAAAATATTAACTTTATGCATGTATATTTTTTTTTTCTTTAATAGGACTTAATCTGATAATAATATGGTAGTATTTTTTATCATCGTTTTGTTAATCGGATTGTTTATGCAATATTATTCTGATGTTTTTTTAATTGATATGAACAAGTGGATACAAATATCCAAACAAGGGAATAATGTTTGAATATTTATGTATTTTAGAAAAATAATTAAAATACATGCTGCACCACCTCTACATTTTCGTGAAACTAAAAATCTACTATTTTTAGGAATTTTTAGTATTTTTGAAAAAAACATTGGGTCAAAACCTACTAATCCAATCTGGAATGCTGATCCACAGATCCGCAACATTTTTGAGGTCGCCGATCCGAGTCTGTGATCTGTTTTTTCAAACTTGGTAAATACAATTGTAAATAGGCACACAGAGGGAGAGAGAGAACACATCAAAATTGAAATTTTGTGATAGTTTATCTCTCTAAAAATGTTGAAATAGATTTTCTCTTTAAAATTTAAAATTTGATATATTATCTCTAAAAAATTTAAGAAAGTTTCTCTCTCTAAAAATTATTAAGCAGTTTCTTTCTCTAAAAATTTTTGAAATTTGCGATGGTTTCTCTCCATAGTCGACCCCAAATAGTTGAGAAAAGGCCCTAAGGATGATGGTGAAAAAATAGTTTCTCTCTAACAATTTTGAGGCCACTTCTCTATCCAAAACTTTTGAGATAGTTTTTCTCTCTAAAACTTTTTAGCAAGTCTCTCTCTCTCTAAAATTTGATATAGTTTTTCTCTCTAAAATTTTAAGATATTTTCCATCTTTAAAATTCAATATTTTGAGGTAGTTTCTTTCTTTAAAAATTTTGAGATAGTTTCTCTCTAAAATTTGTTAGGTAGTTTCTCTCTCTATAATTTTGGCACATATAATAGAGTTTGAATCTTTATTGCCTAGCTGTGCTTAAATTGTGGGCTACCGGTTGGAGACTCTTTCTGTGTGATGATTGTGTAAAACTTTGATTGGAGGTATGTCCTACCCCATCTAGTTGAGAACTAATGCATGCCATGTGATTGTAGTGATAAATGTTCGTTGTTATGATCTTTGTGGTCAATCTCACAACGAGTACTACGTGATGAGTGAAACAAGGTATGATTATAGCAAGTGCTAGGGCGTGCTTTGTGCGAATTGCATGACCCTAGTTGTTTCTAGAAGGGTACCTACTTTGAGTGTATTGTAGGGTCTGACTTTGTGATTTTGTGGTGCATGCTTTAAGCGTATTGCGTGACTACGACTGATGTTTGTATAGGGTGCCTACTCTGAGTGTATTGTAGGGCCTGATTTTGTGATTTGGTGGTGCACGCTTTGAGCGTATTGCGTGACCATTATTGATGTTTGTATAGGGTCCCTACTTTGAGTGTATTGTAGGGTCCGACTTTCTGATTTTGTAGTATACACTTTAAGCGTATTGCATGGCCACAACTGATGTTTGTATAGGGTTCCTACTTTGAGTGTATTATAGGGCATGAATTTGTGATTTTGTGGTGCACGCTTTAAGCGTATTGCGTGACCACGACTGATGTTTGTATAGGGTGCCTACTTTGAGTTTATTGTAGGGCCTGACTTTATGATTTTGTGGTGCACGCTTTTAGTGTATTGAGTGGCCACGACTGATGTTTGTATAGGGTGCCTCCTTTGAGTGTATTGTAGGGCCTGACTTTGTGATTTTTTGTTGCACGCTTTGAGCGTATTGTGTGACTACGACTGATATTTGTATAGGGTGCCTACTTTGAACTTATTGTAGGGTTTGACTTTGTGATTTTGTGGTGCACACTTTGAGCATATTGCTTGACCACGACTGATGTTGTAGGGTGCCTGTTTTGAACGTATTGCAGGACTTGATATTGTGATTTTACTAATAGAAAGCCTGCGTTGAGCATATTACTGGATATGATTTTTTGACTGTGTGACTTCATGATTCTGTGATTTTATGGCACCTTCTCTGAGCGTATTGCAGGGACCGACTCTCTAGTTGAGATTTTGTGACTATGTGGTGCCTGCTTTCTGTGTATCGCAGGACCCACTTTTCTAATTTCGTGACTCTGTGTTTCTATGGTGTGTGCTCCAATGTACACTGCATGATTGATATTAGTAATATGTGTGTTTTGAATGTACTGTATGATTGATACTTGTAAGATGCCACTTTGTGAATACTGTTGGACCCTAACTGGAGATTGATCCCAACGAGGCAGCTGGAAGTTGCTGATCGGCTGTGATTGCTCATGGTTGAAAGACCTAGTCTGTATGTATTAGCATGTTAGTGTTTACATGTTAGGATAGATATAATATCTGGATAATTGGTGCACACTCTGTGTACTGCTATGAAGTATAAAGTATAAGACAATGTGATGCTAGGGATAACACTATAGACAGTTGTATGAGACAGTGGTGAATGTGAGGATGCCCCTCCCCCGACTGTTGGATGTCATACGTGTGATTTTGGAGAAAAAATCCTTTTTAAGGGGGGGATGATGTAAGGACCCCAATTCTCCTAAACATAAAACACTCGCAACCATATAGATAAGTTAAGGGAAGGACATGCACGGCAGGGAGTGTGAGGCAATGCCATTTGGAAAGGAGGAGAGAGATAGAAGAACATTGCTGCTTGTGTGGTAAGAGGTAGCGCCAGCTATGGAGTGATGGGGTAACACCATGCGTAAAATGGTATCGCCGCGCTTGAATGGAAGTATCACCACGCACGTAAGGGGCCATGTCAAGTGCGTAAGAGGTTATGTTGTGCGTGTGGAGATGTAACGCTGCGTGCGAATGGACTAGCTCCGTGTACGAAGAGAGGCCTAGTGCCGTTTGGCGTATCGCCACGTGCGAAGGAAGCTATCGCCGAGCATGGAAAAGAGGATTTGGTTGTCAAAGCCATATCTACTAACGCCGCTTCTGTCAGAGACGACGCCACCCACCTGCTAGCCGCAATGATTTCCACTTACCCATGGGTGCTTAAGCCCTTTCCCCTTTCATCTCACTGCCGTTTTGCTTTTTCCCCTTATGCTCTCTCTCTCTAGAAGCACTAGTAAGAGCCCTTTGCTGCTGCCGTTGGGAAGCTGCTGTTGGAGCTTAGAGTGGCCTGCAAAGTGCAAAAACTTGGAGACACCATGAACAATTGGTAAGTGGGTCTAGCTCCTCTGCATCAGTAACTTATAGGGACTGTTTTAGAGTATGAATAGGGGGCGTAAATGATGGGAGGAGGCATGCAAGTTTGAATGGGGTAGATGAGATGGAAAACACTAAATTAGTGCTCTCTGTGTGATGGTTGTCTAGGCAATGCAAACGAACTCGTTAGCTGTAAAAGATGTGCATTGTCAATCTCTTGTATGACTAGCATAAAATGAATATGGTCTTGCATCAAGATTTGCCTTGGATTGTGTATTGCTAAGTGTTCTTTGAAACATGCAAAACTTTAGGATGAGAATTTTTCAGAACTGTGACAGTTCTTGCATCACGTTTTTCAGTGACCAAACGATACCCAAACGAGACCAAACTGGTTTTAAATGAAAGATATGCTTGTATACTGTAATCATGTTGTTTACACTATTTCGAAATTGTACATGGATTAAGAGACACACCCCAAAATATGGGGGGGGTGTCACTGCCACAATCACAGGTGAATTCCAGCCACTGTTGCCTACTTTGCTCCAAGCTTTTGACCACCAAACGATGCCCAAATGTTCCCAAAACCTCTGCCATTTGAAAGATCAATATGTTGGCTTAAAGTTGCATGTAGAACCCGTTTTAAAATTCTCCCTAGATTGGGGGTTATGCCTCCGAGAAAGGGACTACGTCACTGTTACTTAACACCGAGATTTTCAAATTCGTGCCTATTCTAGAAATAAATTTTTTTGCGTTTAAACTCTGCCCAAAATGTGTTTAAATCTCTTTCAGATGAGCTTTGAGTGAGTCCATTTCGAAATCGACTTCAAGACCACGCTAAAACCGCCATTGCTTGATAATAACACTTCTTTTCCCACAAGAATGTCACAGGTATGGTTCTGATGAATGATACTCTTTCTGATTGAACTATTCACTGATTGATTTAAGTGACCAAGTGTTATGAGTATTGATCGATAAATATGAATGCTATGGGATGGTCTCCCTGTGATAAATACTACAAGTTAAAGTCCATGGAGTCATGTGATTAATGACATGCCACCATGCTCTAATTGATAATTTGACTAATGCGAATTCCCTATGATAGCCCTGTGACACACGTTACATAAATGAGACTATGAGTATGAATGCTAATTGACAAATGTAAATGTCATGAGATAGCTCTCTTATGATGGATGCCTCATGATAGTGGCAGTGCATACATGACAGTTGTATATTGCTGAATAAGTCTTAGACGTTGTTAATGAGATTGAACTTGTCTGACATGGGATGTTGACTAAGTGCGAATAAAGAATGATGCTTGACTGTTCTGTTCTGTAATGATACTAATATATATACCACTATGCAATGGGCCACCCTTTCGTAGTGGGTATTGTTCTGATGTGATATTATGATATAGAGCACTACGCAATGGGACACCCATTGGTAGTGCGACCGAAGTGACAGATGCAATGAGAATTCATTGGCACACTTTGAGCGTGTTGCATGACCATACTGTGATATGTGACTGATTGGCATGCTTTGAGCGTATTGCATGACCATATTGTGATATATGACTGATTGGCCTGCTTTGAGCGTATTGCATGACCATACTATGATATGTGACTGATTGGCATACTTTGAGCGTATTGCATGACCATAATGTGATATGTGACTGATTGGTCTGCTTTGAGAATATTGTAGGGCCTGCCTGTGTGATTAAGACTAGTGAGGTACATGCTTTGTATGTATTGCATGATCGGATCTTGTGAATGTTATGAAATGAGAATACGCTTCCATGAAATTGAAATGCATGCTGTAAAACATGTTCAGTTATAGATGAATGAATGATACTGTGAAATGCATGACTGTTATGTTCTATGATGGTGTTTGCCGGAAAAAGGTGTTTTGAACTTCCAATTCTTGCGACATCTATTACCTGTGTCGGAAATTTGAATGTAATTAGTGCATTGTCTAAATGAAGAATTCTGATACCTGCTTTGATGTTCGTGATTTTTATACTGATGAGATTCCTGATTTATCTGATATATTTACTGTGATAGATTTGTTATGATTCTGAGTATGTAGACTTACTTACTGGGTTGTAAAGTTCATCCCGCTATTATATTTTTTTACCATCTCTGTAGAGCAAGAGTCACAGGTGGAAGGCGTGGTCTAGTGGAAGCTGTAGACGGTTGATATTCGGAGAAGATGAAGATACCCTCCTTCATTGTATGTTCTAGAGGGCAATGTGGCCCTAGTTTTTATTTATTGTGGAATATATGTGCTAATGGGCCTTGATGCCCCAAACGGATTGTAATACTTTTGGGAATAAATTTATATAGTGGATTTTAGTTTGACTGGGAATTCTATTTCTAGATGTTCTTCTGCTCTTTATACCATGGTTTTAAGTTCCTGGCTATGGTTTGCTTTGTTTACTACGTTGATAAAGTGATGAGCGCCCTCCGACCTAAGTGGCAATCGTGACATATGGTTCACGAACCCGCAACCGGTCACCCTCCGTTGAGCATGGCAAGGGGGTGTCACCCTCCGTTGAGCATGGCAAGGGGGTAGGGCGTGGGTCATGACATTTATAGACAAGGGTTACACAAAGTACCCTTAACAAGCTCGAAATGGTGCTCCAGTCCTCGTCTTCAGACGACGATAAGTCCAGGCCGGGGTGGGTCAAGCCTGAGACCCGAATGCTAGTCGCTGCCACCTGTGCCTCATGAACCTGCTGCCGTCTATGCCTTAACACCGTGCGATGTTAACACCGCGTGCTTTACTAAAGAAGTTATTGTCATGCGCTTCACAAGAAGCTATCACCGTGCGCTTCATAAGAAGCTATCACCGTGCGCTTCACAAGAAACTATCGTCGTGCGCTTCACAAGAAGCTAACACCATGCGCATTATCAAGGCCTAACGCAGCGCCATCCGCATGGCCACCATTCTGTATCCTCAGGGAGTCAAGTCTTCAGTTACGGCTCTGTTCCCCATGGAACCGCATTTTCTTACCACTACAACGGTCTAGGTGCACGACCATAAACTGTATGGTCTAAACTATATGACCTTAAACTGTATCCAGTTGCATGACTTTAAACTGCATGGTCCTAGCCGCATGACTTTAAACTGCACAACCACGGTCCGTGCTGCATGATCTTAAACTGTAGCAGAGGTTCAGTTGCACGACCTTAAATTGCATGGTCCTAGCCGCATGACTTTAAATTGCACTGCTGTGGTTCAAACTATATGACCTTAAACTGTAGCGGAGGTCTATTTGCACGACCTTAAACTGCATGGTCCTAGCTGCATGACTTCAAACTGCATATCCATGGTCTGAGCTACAAGACCTTAGCTGTGATGCACGTCTATGTAGCAAGACGCTAAACAGCGCGACAAATAGTCCCTGCGCATGACTTTAAATTGTGAAATGGACGCACCTCTCCGCCTGGTGTAATCTCCCACTATCCTCAGTAGGGTTACACCTATGCTCCGGACTGTCATTCCCACTAAAGCTACATGTATGCCATTGTCCCTCATCCCCAGTAGGAGTCACATCTGTATTGCAGCCCAATCCCCAGTGGAGTTAGGGTCATTCTTATCTCTTTAATTCCCAGTGGGGTTACATCTGTGCTCCAGTCTGCCATTCTCAGTGGAGTTACGTGCATACCATTGCTCATTATCCACATGGAGTCATATATACCCCAAAAATCCTCAGTGAGTCCTCCTCTAGTCGGGCCACTCTATCCCCCCACGAAGTTTTACTTACACGACAACCCACGCAATGGTCTAGCTGCACGACCTTAAATTGCATGGTCCAAGTTGCATGACTCTAAACTACGTAACCATGGTCCAAGCTATGTGACCTTAAACCATAGTGCTCGTCCTGGCCGCATGACGATAAACTGCTTTGCACAAGTTCAGGAGGCATGACCCTAAAAAAGCCCTCACACACACGCACTTTACGTGCATTTTTATGCACGTCTTCCCTAACTGACCCATTCGTTTGCGCACACAACCTTCATCACCTCCCTAGTAAATCTATCTTTCTTCGTTACCATTCATCATTCTCCAATGAGTCTCACCAATGCTCACATAACAATGAACCATCCCACCATCCATATTCGCCGTCAGCTAGTGGATCACCACTATCCACTTCACATTTCCCCAAAATGAGTATAAACACCACCATGCTCACTCTATCACCTTCAAAGGCTGCCATGTATCATCACCATGGTCCAGCTATATGACCTTAAACTGTAGTGCACGTCTTGGCCACATGACAATAATAGGCTTCACACAGGTCCCGAAGGCATGACCTTAGACACGCCTTTACAAAAAAAAAAAAAATTAACAGGCATGGAGTATGCCTAAACAAGGGAATGCCATGAGTAAAACTGACGGACGGACATGGTCACGAAACCATGAGTAAAAGGGTTCCATGGAAATAAAAATCTGGGCACGGTGAAAACCTTAATAGGGCACCGTGAGCAAAAATGGATGAAAAGGGTAGACGTGGCCGCAAGGTCATGGGTAAAAGAGCCCAAAAATAAAAGATGTTGGTGAAAACCGTCTTTACTGTCCCACTTCCTCAGTCCAGATGAAAACTCACAAAGGGCCCTTGGACCAATGAAGCAGGTTGACGCAGCATCACAGCCTCAGCCAATACCCAATTGCCAAACAGGAGTAATTCTGGCAAATGAGGTCCACATAAAATCCTCAGCTATCAGAAGCCAATAAAAAATCTCACGAGATATCCCAAACACCAAAAAAAGAAAGGGTCCTTGAGGGTGAGGACAAAGATCGAAAGATCCCTCAAAAAATAAAAGGAGAGAGTGAGGACGAAGACCGAAAGATCCCTCCGAAAAACAAGAAGAGTCCTTGAGGGTGAGGACGAAGACTGAAAGATCGCTTCGAAAATAAAAAGAGTCCTTGAGGGTGAGGACAATGAACAAAAGATCCCTCAAAATAAAAAAGAGTCCATGAGAGTGAGGACCACGACAAGATCTCTTAAAGTCTCTTCTCCCCCTAAAGTCTCCACTGATGGACCTATACATTGCATCCAAAAGTCTGAGCATCCTAGTTACAGCACTGCGTGAATCTCCTCATCGTTCACGTGGTCTTGTGGCTAGTAAGAAAAAAGAAATAAAGCCAAAGCAAATTTTTCAAATGTTATCCTTCTCGCTTCTCTCGAAGCACAAACATTCAGTGGGGCATGCTATTTAAAGACATTTTTCAACACCATAGGTCCCCGATGAGGAATAAAAGGGAGAAATCGGTCAATAAAGTCTGACAAACAGTAGAAATTTTGACAATCTCAGAATAGCCTCAAAACTGGTCAAGATCTTCATAAGGACTCTTAATATCCTCCTGCCAAGTTTCATCGCATCCCGACATCTCTAAGGCAATACAGACTAGAAACAATTTCGAAAAAATCAACATCCATCACCCTAAAACGGACCCTGTAACTTGAGCTCTATTTTCTGTACGTCAAATTATTGTGGGACCACCTCCATTGGATCTGATACGGTCGAAAAAACCTTATAGGTCAAGTTTTGTCTTAATCGGGCACTCCAAGATAAAACTATGGGTAAACTACCGAAAAGGCAGTGTGGCCTCTGCACCAAATCACCAATAAAGGTGATTGTTTTTACAACCACGGGCAATGACTTTCGAGATCCATATCTCATTCGTTATGAGTCAGATCGTGCTCAAATTTTGTGAATATGTTCGTCTCGTCAAGATGAGCATTTGAATATGTGGCACGCACATGACGACACTCGAACAAGGAGAAAATCTAGAGAGAAATTGCTGATCCGTGAAGAAAATTGCAGGAAAATCAGCAATAACACGCCTCGCTCGAGTGGCTAAATCACAGCTCTCACGCATCGGATTGACAAGAGACTAGTTCCATCGTATTCGTAAGGTCTAGGGTTATCTCTGATCCGAACACCGTATATGATGAAAGGCCGGATTTCACACATGAAGCCAATATAGTGACTGCAAGTTTCGATGCCGGAATTCCATATTCCAGCCAAAACTCTAAAGTTGTGAAATCTTCGTCTGGGAACGAAATCTAGCTGCGTTTGTTGCCACGTGATCATGACGGCATGATCAGTGTGATCCAGTAAAGAAATCACGGAAAAACATTAAGAAATGAGCACACTATCGATCCAAAATTTTCAAGATTCATCCAAATTTCCAGTTGTATGATCGTGGCTTAAAAACACGATCCATGGCTCGAAGTTGGTATCAAATCGATCGTCATGCCAAGCCCTATAAGAAAAGAATCATCTTTCGGACAAACGGGCACCAGAGTAACCCCAGATCATCCACGGAATATTACGTCTGTTCTAGGGCAACAGAAGGGACTGTTTTGAAATTCCATGAATTGTTAGACAGAGGCAAATCAGTCATTTTGTACCCTATTTTCTTAATTTTTTAAATTAAAATAAACCATAATTATCATCAATTAAGAGTTTTGGGTGATACACCCACGTTTTGGCCATAGTCTGTAAATAGATGTTACCTCTCATTGAGAGGAGGCTCGAAAATCATTGTAAAGGATCCCCCTTTCGTTCTCTATGTTGAGAAATAAAATTTGAGATTTTTCCTTGAATTCATGAGTACATCTTGGAGAGAAAGAGGAGAGAGACAGTTTAAAGCGGTACCCCTCCCACCTTCAAGGTATTTTCTCTCTCTTCCTTTCTTCCCTCCTAATTTTCCTTTCCTCTCTTCTTCTTTCTTCTTCTCTTTCTTCTTCATCTCCTTTGCTGAGTAATTCTCAGAGGCCATGCACAATAGTGGCAGTGTTGTGCATGCCTCTTTCTCTCTTCCTCCTGCTGTGACTTCGCAGGGCTTGCATGACGATGGCAATGCCATGTGCAAGCTGTTCTCTCTCTCTCTATCTCTCTCTCTCTCTTCATTCATTTCTTTTCTTCACATGGTTTACGCACAGCATTAGTCACCGTTGTGTGTAACACCATCTGAAGGAGACACGATGAGCCAGGCCATGCTCAAGCAACGGGTCGAGCTCCTGTTTCGGTTCCAGAATTGACATCACACATGGCGATGTGTATCGCCGACCGCAGACTATCTTTCTTCCTCTTACGAGTCACAGACGGCGATGTCTATCACCGCCCCATGCTTCATGCCCATCGCAGACGGTGATGCCTATCACCACCTGCAAAGGGTCGCGGCAATGTGTA